CCCCGGAAAGGATAATAGCGCGTTCGTTCCCCACCATAGACACCTGCGGTCCAGAGTTTTGCAAATATCTCAGCAACATTCTAGATAATAATGTTAAAACGTTAAGCAGCGTTCTTGGAAAAAAGATGACCCTTCTTAGGAGCACCTAAAAAAACCCACACTTTCCGTTTCTTATCTCTGTTTTCTTCTGCCACATCAGTATTATCAAACTCTTTGAGATTCGCTGGCTCCACTGTATCAGCAGGGTAAAGTAGCTCGTCCGCAGATGCAGTATGACGCCGAATTCTATGTGGGAGTGGTTCGGATGAATCTGAAGACCAAGACTGAATATGGAAGAAAACCATACACCGAAGTAAAACTGCTCATAACGTAGAAAACATAAAACAGAAGCGAGTTCTTCACAAATTACGCACATATAGCTCCTGAAGTGATAACAAAATAATGAAAAACATTTTTGTACTAACCAGTACGGTTAGGCGAAACGCTGCCGTTGCGAAGTGATGCAGATGATGGGGTGCAATTCTTTTGCAAGTTTTGTTCGAGCATTCCTTCCACATCATTTACTAAAAGCATAGAATTAATTCAAATGAAAGAATCGTCAGTAAAAAAAGTTATGTAGTGGAAATCGAGAAAAAATATTTTGAACCGAGTTCTATGATGTTTTCTCAAATGATAAAGATATGTTGCAATTTAGTAGTACTTCTACTTTTTAAATTTTATTCCCTGAACAATTTTATAAGTAACAAGAGTACATTGCCCTAGAACCTAATGTTTCCATGTTTTAAGGTTAAGTGTTCGACACCCGCTGAAAGTTTGCTTTGTCTTTGTCTCGGCGATAGAGCCCTGTTTGAAATTCCTTACTATTTGGAAATTAAAATCAAACTAAACTTGGCACTCTTTTGCCAATGAGTACTAAATTAAAACATCAAATCAAACAACAAGACTAGGAAGGAACTCAATCTAGTAAGTAAATGAACTATATTACTCATATCTGTTGATCATTGTATCTTTGCAGCAAAAATTGAAGTTTTTTCAAGAGCTTTCCGAACATCTCCAGCAAATCTGTTTATTGCTTTCACTAAATGATCAACATCTTAGGCTTCCACATTCTTTTTGAAATCAAGTGCCAAGTCATGATCGCCCGCATTTATCTTTGTTTGTGAGTTCCTCGGCTCAGTGTAGACTGATGAAGTCTTGAAATATTTTTTTATTACTATTACTAATGTCATAATAATAAAAACAATAGTAAAAATAACAACTGTCATTATTGTTACTATCGTTATTATTATCATTGTTGTTATTACCTCTAAAGGTTTACCGCCTCATCGTGGCTGGGAAGTGTTCCCAGGTATCGGAGTGCAATGTACATCGAGTGGTTCATTCCCCAACAAGCTCTGTCAAGCTGTGCACTCCGAAGTTTCTATACCAAATTCCACTAAGAGTGAACAAATACAAGGAAGCACCGCGTTATGGTATGAAATTACTCGCGAGGCGGTAAATCTTCCTATAGTTCACTAAGGTAGCGACTCCCTGTAGTGGTGCAGACTTGAGGGAGGCTTCGGCTAGCTACGAGAATCACGGAAACCACAGTGGCTAAACCAGCGCAAATGCAGCCTCAAAAGCCGCACACTCAGCGCTCCTGTTTACGACGTCATGCGGTGAGACAACCGGTGAGAGCAGTTCAAACCTCGAGTTGCATAAGACGTCGTTAGAAGCGGAGAAAACCAGCACGCCGACAACACGTCATGGAGTCAAAATGAGTGGAAATTGTCTTGTAAGTCTCCTGTCCGCAGCATATCTCTCACGTGAATTCATTTTTCAAACAGAAAATCGCCGGCGGACTTAGGAGTCTCCTAATGACACAACTCAAACGAAAATCGATCATATTCTCACGAACAAAAAACGCTGCCTCTTCTATATCTCAGTGGTGCCCGCATTTTTTACTGGACCTAACCACCGTCTTCTATTGCGAAGATTCGATTCAGCCATAAGCTGGAAAAAAACTCATTGCCACTGTCCAGCTGGGAAACAAAGGATGACCAGATCGAGAACTATAAGCTGCTCGTCGAAGACTGTCGACTTGATACTTATGCGTGCCGAACTCGCCTCAGCTTCTCAAACAAGGAGTTCAGACCGCATCTTTACTACCACTAAGGAGTTGCTCGAATAGCGAAAGAAATTGAAGCTTAAACCCACTGCAGCGCACCTAACATGGCTGATAATAAATCCCAGCTGTACAGTGCATGATCTTTGCAGGAGGATTTACATCAGGATAGACAGAAAACGTTATTTAAACCAGCTCAAAAACGATCTAGTTTGAAGAAGTGCTGTTGGGAGACCTTTGACTATAATGTTCCACTATTCCCCCTGATGAATGAAGATGAGACTATCGCTACATCTCACCATGATATAGAATTGAGAACGGAGAGTTCTAGTTTCACAATCCCCTCTCGGCCCCCAACATCGCCGCTGTTGAAAAACTTCCCAGGATTCTACCCTCTGAAGTTCGAGTGGCAATAGAAAGCATGAATAGAGGGACAGATCCAGGACCCGATAATATCACGGCAGATTTCCTTAGATCTGGTCGCCAAAAATTACATGTACACTTCGCAACCCACGTGATGTCATATTTTCGGAAAGAGAAAATCTCGGGCTAGTGGAGAACTTCGCCCACAGTCATCCTATCTAAGTGTGACCGAAAGAATCCTCGTTACTACAGTCTAATATGTTTGTCAAGTGTACTCTACAAGATGTTCACTAATATTGCGCATATCGAAAATCTTGGATGAGACACAACTAGTTTAAAAAGCAGGGTCCTGACTGGGATTCTGCTGTATTGACGACATCCAAGCCATATCACGGGTCACAGAGTGCTGTCGGAAGTACCATTGGCCTCTTGTCTTAATTTTTATCGTCTCCGAGAAAGCGTTTTGACAGAGTCTATACAACTGCAGTCCTATCAACGCTCGTCGACCTAGGAAGGGACCGCCCAACATACGCACACTGAATGTTATTGAAATTACAAGACAATAATACAAGTTTCCCATCACCATAGAAAAGAGAGTTCGACAAGGCAACATGCACTCGCCAAAGCTGTTTACAGCCGCATAACAGTGGAAGCTTGATATGGACCTGCTTCAATTACCTCCGTTCACATCTCTACGTCGATAAGAATTGTGGACCTTCCACGACCTGTTTGCGAGGTCTTAAAAAATGCTTTTCTTTTCCGAAGTTTTATCCCCAAGTTTAAAATTCCCAAAAAAACGATAAACAATTCTTCATTAGATGAAGTTGTTACAAAACGTTTATGTTTCTTTATGTTTCGCGTAAATACAGCAGGTGATGTTCGATCACTTTTTCATTCAGACAAAAGAGCACATTAATATTACCTTAGCTCATTCTGGACGAAATTAACAAAATACATTTAAAAAAACCATGGTATAAAGACTGATGAACAGTAGAGGATTCAGTATTGAAGAATTGAATTGAAGATTGAAGGGATCAATTGATTAGAGATGTGTCATCCTTTCGATTGCATTAAGCATCGTAGAGGTGAATGAATGCATAGTTGGCCTCTTCAATGACTTGCAGGATCCTAGCGATGTGTTAAGTCAGCTCTGCTATTCACGCCAACGAGTTTGGTGACAATCTATCAACCCTTGGGAGATCAATGACTTCGTCTGCACTGAATGTGAAATCGAACCAAGACCATAGGGCGTATGGCAGACAGCTATTACTACTGCAATATACGCGTCCATTAATTTCCACATAAGGAAAATTCTGGGTTTTAGAAAAGAGAATGGCCGAAAGTTCAACAATTTCATTTCGCAAAGCCGAATACCTTATAATGGCCAGTCTAATATAGAGAATAATATTCCTGCCCCTAAATTTCGTTAACCTTAAATGTCTCACAAAAACTTCATGCAAAAAGTAGTCGCAAGTGTTTGGTATATGTCACCCTCACTGTAAATCAATACAGTATGGAACAAGTTAAACAATCAGCTAACAAAAACTTGGAACAAAACATAATTATTCAAGTGAGATTTTTAAGGGACCGCATTAAAACATGGTATTTTACCGGTCTCCTTTAATGAGGGGTAATGATTCCTACTTGTAATCTAGCTGCATTCCTTCGACAGATGTCACTTTCGATAAAACTAACTCAACAGCAACTCAGAAGAACCACCATCGATGAAAAAGATAATGGAAAGTTCACGTAGAAAAGCAAAGATTCTCTTCTGGAAAGATTTGATCTTTGATCCAGAGATCTCAAAATGAAAACTACTAATGACCACACAATACGGCTTATTCAGCTTCTTCGTACCTCTCATATGGTACAGTACCTACACCTTTAGCATTAAACGTTAATAAAATGTAGTTAGGCCGCAATTTTGATATTCAGGTTTTATTCTATGGTTTCAATAAGCATGCTCATGACTTGATGCTGACAGAATTGCTTTTAGTCAATATAATAAAGAAACTGGGTGCTTCCTAACGGATTTCACTTATTTGAGATCTCGGATTTATTAGTTGGTAATGCTTGTTGGCTCATGTACCTAACACGGTTTAAAAACGGAATAAAGTGAGTACATATAGTTCTTCCCTTGATATACCAACAAAACGAAGGAATGGAATCGCTATCTATACTATCTTAGGCTGATTTACACTAAACTGTGTACAAATCACATTTATACATACGTGGCTAGCGTGCTTAATCAAGAGGAATCCACTAGACAGCTGCAGTACACGCTCTGACGAGCAGTGATTATCCGTTGGTGCTTTCTCGAATTTCCCAACAACTTGCACAAGAACTACTTCCATACCAGTTTACATTAACTTTACAAAAGATTTCACTTGTAATCACTGAATGGAAATGACAAAAGTGTTGTTCTGCCAAGCTAAAACGAGAAAGCAACGTAGTTACTGAAAATGTTAAACAAAAACAAACACAAGTTATACTTCAAATCAAACAAAAATTATATTCCAGTGAAAAAAAGAATATTTGGCTCTAATAATATTCCACTGCAAGAAACTGATAGCTAAAGATCGAGGACAGTTAATAGAAGGTCAAAGTGAAAGTGTACGGCTAGATGGTCTGCTGAAGTGGTATTCGGGAAAACACATTCCTCCACAAATTGATGAAGTGTCTTCCTATCATGTGTATCGAAATTCTCTTTTATATCATTATTTTTATATCATTATAACATTCATACATTATCATGGATTTTTCCACCAAAACTCACTACTGTGAGTCGTTACACTTTTCCATACAAGCACGTTTTCGTTACGTTTTACGTCTCTTATAACGAAATACACTGAAGCAGAATCTGGTTGTTCATGACGTGGCGCTGTAATCCCTAGCGACACGCACACAAACCTTCCGCCTCCGCTGATGAAACGACGCTTTATCTTCCCGACGGATGTCACTATAGCTCTCCTACGCCTTTTCCACTCAATACTCAAGACTCTCATACCCTCTTCCCCAGTTCGTACTCAATCTAAGCAATAATTGGTCGCGAACCCGAAATTTCTGAATAGACGTACGACAACACAAATCTCGAGCATACTGGTTCGAAAAGATGCGACGACGAGGAACGAAGAAGACAAGATTACCAAGCAATAAAAAGTGCTCTGCTACGGACTCTGAGATCTCACCTAATTACTCATCGTGGAAATATGTTGTCCGAGATTCCGAGATTATTGAAATTTCTACTGATGTCAGTTCGTAGTACCACATTGATCTATATATTTCTGAACATCCAATAGTATCAATGATTCGTAGTACGTTCATAAATAAAAGCGGGTACAAAGTTCTTAATGGCACAATTTGGTTTTTTCTTCATTGTTTCTAATACAAGTACTCAGAACACTTACTACTATTTGTGTTAACCCTTTCCTCAGAACACTTCCATCGTTGTGAGCATTACTCATGCATGCTTAACACATCTGGCAATCTCTGGTTACTTTCACATTTTGCCTCACTTCGTTTGATTTTCCTTTGCGCGTGTTGAGAGTCACATGACTTATTCGGCCCTTGTACTCCTCTCCCAAATTAGCTTTCCCTCGAGCCACTCCATGAAACTGTGTAAGTGAAGTTATCGATTAGGTACCAAAAAAACAGTGAGAACTCCGTGGTAAAATCACAAGCTCGAAAGAAAAATGAGATATGTATGAATCACATGTTTGCGAGTATTTTGAAAACTACAGAAAAAAATTCGAAGTGCAAAAGAAATCCTAATAGGAAGAAATTAGGAACCAGACGATGGGAAAATAAAAAAAGTAATAACAAAGTAACAAAACGAGAGAACTAAGAAACTCGTGATCAGTAAAAACTTTAGCAACGTTCCCACCAACAGTTATGAAAGTCTCGCTGCTGATAAACCTTCTTACCCACAATTTAATCGACAGAAAGACCTCACAAAACTTAGAACACGCTTGTGTGCTCAAGTTAGACTTAGCAATAAGCAACTTAACCAAGTAAGCCGATATGCTTCACAGTATTAATAACAGGCTATCCGGATACCAATACCCTCATTTCCTTCCAAAACTTTGGCGTTTGTTTGCAAAAACTTTTCGCATGCTTGTCTAATGAAAAATAGGTGTTAAATAATAGTCTTAATATAAAACACGCAACGAGACCTAAGCTGGCCGTCGTTAACCTGAATTGAGGTTTAGTGGACAAATATAATCAGCGTAATCTTTGCTGGTGAACGAATAGATGGCTTTTGTGTCGGCCATTAGTTGAACTGGTTGGTTCACCCAATTAATTTTTTGGTTGCGACCATGTGCCCGTGAAACCCAGATTTCAATATTGTTAATATTGTTTTTATACTAGTGATCGAGACGGAAAGTAGCGTTTTGTGACATATTTGACGAAAGATTGCCGTTTTAATTAAGCCTGACCTAGTGCTTTCCTGTGTTGTGGTCTTCACTGTTGAATCGTGAGCTCTTGAGGAGCTTCGTGCCACTCTTAGATGGTTTCAAATAGTGTCTGCATTGATATTAAATATAGAGCTGATCGACCGCACTCGCTCCAAATTACTACCGTTACTTCATTTCATGCTAATTTGCGTTCAATTTCGGCTATTTAAATAAAAGAAAGGAAGCGAGAAACAAGAAGCGAGAAACAAGCAAATTCAAGTTTTTCGTATGATTTCAAACTTTCATGTGAAGCCGGAGGAACGATTCGCAAGGTCCTAGATTCAACTTGGAGTGGGAAACCATTACCAACCTTCTAAGAGAATGGTGGTTTCAAAATTGTTGTAATATAAATACGAATACTGGAAAAGAAAACGCTCGGGAACAGCCAGCTAGCATGGATGATAACTTTAACTGAACCAAGGTTAGGCATGACAAAATGAGCATATACAAGGTCTAAAAATGAATTAACAGTTTTTGGTCGATTCGACCGAAACCGGTTGATTGTTGGTAAATCGGAAACTTAAACAATATCAGCTGTGCAAACTGAACGGTACGCGAATATATCGTTGTTGCAAAGGATATTTCGCGTTTCGTTTGCTGCACTGAGCTCAGTCGAGAACTTCTCTCAAAAAATCGACAAAATGTTCCAAGAACTGCAATGTCTCCGACAGGCTATGATCAATCGAAAGAGACTAATTATATTGCACGTCACTGGCTGACTACACATCGCACAACCAACACAATAAAGGTTAAAAGAAGCGGGATGCAAAACTCAGGTTCATATAGCACATTGATCGGTACCTTCGGAACATTTTCCCACTTTCAAAACCCAAAGCTTAATTATGATGTCATTTATAATGTTATAGGTTATTAATAGAATGATAGGCAGATTGTAATAGCCTCGATTTCACATATTACAGAACAGTATAACTATGACAACAAAAACAATGTACTTACTAAGATCTTTATCAGCAATGACTGTTGAAAGCAGCTGCTCACTAATAAATGACTGTTGTTCGAGTTGCTGGATACGTGCTTCAGATTCCTGAAATATAAAACGACTGGAGACACGTAGAACATCGTTATTCAACAGATTTATGCTGACAATCAATGATTTATAAGAAGCTAACGCCCATTACTTCATTAGTTACCCAATCCAACGAGAACTGGACGTAAGAAACAAAATAATAAGACAATAAAATCATTGAGATTAATCAGCTAATAGAAGTGGCTATATTAGTTTTAAATGTTTTTAATAATCTGAAGCAGTAAATGTGGATTTCGTCGGCACGAAGCGGAGAGAAGTCGCTGTGAAGACCACCGTTCCTCATCCACAAATTCCAGTACCAACCAACTAATGAGTGAAAGCTCCTATTATCCTAGAATCCCATCTTTCTTCTGTTTCATCAGCAATCTTTAAAAGTGAACAGAACAAGGGTGAACTGAAGTGTACTCTGTTTAATTTTATAAGGAACGTTTGGTTTCTGTTTGGAAAAAAGGCAATATGAAATATCCTTTCTCAGCGTCAACAATAGTAAAGCAAAACTTTTTTCCTGTTTGAGACAATAAGCATAGAAAATAACAGTTTCCTAAATAGCGAAAACGATGGCTTATATGTCTCGTTCATGCACGGCTTTCTGTGAACAGAGATGTGCCCATACCGATACATAACCACAGCAAATCAGATGCAGAGTATAGTACGTTTCCTAGCTTGGCTTGTACAGGTGATTATTGTACCATAGCTTGCATTAAAGCTTCTAGTTGCATACGACAGCATTTCCAATTAACTGATGTTTATACTACAGGCTACGCACGAAAACTGTGCTGAATTTTACCCATTCCTCAAAGCAACAGTAGCGTGTAGCTCAGTGGTTAGAAGTGTCCTGCGATACACACTAAGAGCGCCAATGGTTCGATCCTACGCCCAAGGCTCACCAAGTCCTCCTTCCGTGGTCGGCAAATCTGTATCGGACTTGTCTGAGATTAGAGCAGCATTGACTTCATAGACCAGTAGGCCAACCCAAGTCATTGTCTAGGCCAGATATGGGTTCAATAATCTCTAACGACGTTCAGTGAAGTCGAATACATAGCGCATCCCTCAGAGACTGACCAACGCCGAAAGCTTCATCTCCAACCTTTTATCCTTAACGGGAGTAACTCTTAAATTTCTTGGTGATTATCTCCCGATTTAAAGGAAATTCAACCATAAACAAAGGAAATTCCGAAACAAGTAGTAATCACGTGGTTGCATGCATTTAAACAAAAAAACAGCACTAGAACTGCAAAACTACTTTTACTGCCCATCGTTAATTTTCCAATTCTAGGAATTCTTTTTGTCATTTCACATGTTTCTATCTGAATTCATTCTTCGACAGTTCTAATCACTTTCCAAATCATAGACTTCATGACGAATAACATTAACAAAGACTTTTTTGAAGATATCGCTTTAAAGATAAGGAATTATCTAAATTTAGAGGCTAGGTTATATTTACTCTCCACTCTCTTTGCGGTCTTTAGTGTTATAAATAAGTAGAGCAGAAACGAAAAGCACTTCGCTATACAGAAATATTACTTTGATAATATCTGCTTGTACTTTTCAGAAATCATCAAAATACTTCTAATTGCAATCCGCGTGTGATTGTCAGAAGTTAAATCACATGTAAAGCATGAAAGCCTCTTCAATGCCCTATACTTCAAGACACGCTACGCATTACAACTCCATTACGCACATTAGGCAGTGAGTGAATGCATATCTGGCCTTTCCGGAATCCTATCGATATATCGATTATATTTTAACCTCTGAGATAGGTCTGGTACCGCTTTACCAATCCAGCAGTGATTAGAGCTTGGTTAGCCTAAGAGTATCCGTCTAATGGTGGTCATCGGCAGCGCACAGCACTTCTAACCAGTGCATAAATACGCCTAAAATAGGTGTAGAATCAAGACTGACTACTAATACCCCATGTTAGCTTCTGCTTTGCTTATTTTTATTGTGAACCTTCCAGAACATTCTATTATGCTCGAATCAGCACTTACATTTCAACACAATTGGTTGCCTTTTTCGCTTTCTAACAGTGAGGACTGAGGATATTAAAAACGTGTTACGGTAAAATTCATTAGCCACCTGTGACATGCCATTAACTTCGGCCAGAGCACAATTTTCTTTAGTGCTGCCATATGACATTGTTTTCCAACCGATTTCTTCTTCATGCTAATCTATAACTCAAAGTGATGCGACTAGCATTTTCGAGCATCACTCCATTATAATTCATTCGAACGCCTATAAATCGACAATCACCCGCACTTTACAACAGACTTGAGTTATAACCACGTGAAAGGACTGGTTACGTAAATAACTTTTTTAATAGAACGGACGCTAGAAAATTGTTTTCGATGTCCATGTTATCCATCTATCAACTAAATTTTGATGATGAATATACGAATGCCTAGAGCACTTTTCCTTACAACACTGGAAAAAAAAGGTTAGAGAAATTCATAAATATCCCTTCCACCAGGATCACAGCACCAAACACAAAGGAACAACAGGTGATTAAATACGTATCAAGTCATAAAGTAAAAATCACAGGAGCAACTTTGAAAGTGCAACCATTAGCATTTCAACTCCAATGATAAACACATCGCCGCTTACTAATAGGCTTACGCGGTAATCACTATTAAATCAAAAAAGGACCACAAAATTAAGCACTGCACGCATTTACAGAAATGTAAACGAAAAGTCAAAAAATTAAATGAAAAAATTCCTCCTAACGGTTTACCGCCTCATCGTGACTGGGAGGTGTTCCTGGGTGTCGGGCTGCCATGTACAGCGGGGAGATTCATCCCCTAGCAGAGTCTCCCAAGCTGAGGAGTCCGTTGTTTCCGTCAGGAAGCTTAGCTAAGACTAAATCAATACCAGGATCGACCACCGCCCCTGTATTAAAGTCGCGTGGTGGCAAATCTCCCTCTGATTCACAAGGACTACTTATGGTGGTGAAGACCTGGAGCAAACTTTGGCAAGACTGATTTCGGGATTCCAGAGAACCACAATGACTTAACCAGCAAATTCCCAAAAAATGGAGATTGTGCTGGGGCCCGCACAACCAGTGAGGACGGGCCATTCAAGTAAGTAAGTAAATGAAAAATTCTTGTAAAGCAAATTTCAATTAGGCATTCTAAGGCGAACTTAAAAATGAAATGCAAAATTAAAAAATGTGTCGAATCATTTATAATTACAAAAGGAACGAAAGTATCCTGAGGTAGAATTTCCATGAAATGCTGATTAATGAGCACTAACTATTCTTATCAATCACTACTAACACATTCATACCGTCCGCTTGGCGCGCTCGGCGTTCCACCACGTAGCGTTGACACACAAGACCGTAGCGAATGTGTTAAAATTGTAGGTACACATTAAATACAAGTAAACAAATTCCTTTCTATTAATGATGAAGTATTAATGACGTATTTCTATGCGATATCTTACGAACAAAAAGGTAGGCGTCACAGTGTGTATATCGTATATCTTTCAAATAACAATCAACAATTCAATAAACAAAATTGTTGGTGGAACTCTTGCAGTGACCACGTTTTCTTAAAAATTTGTACTGATTTAATTACTGAATTGGTGAGAACAAAATGATCTTTAACACCGACTTCGAAAAGTTATAACTCTGCTCAAACATAAATTTTTCATTCAAAAATGGAGCCACTAAGGTCTAAGTTGTTGCCAACGAGATACATATGGCAAGAACATTTTTATTTCGACGATAAAGAATTCTAAAGTCCAAGGGAAACGATTCGAAACTCCAACCCCGTTCTACTTCTTATGCCGTAGATCTATATTGCGTGCTAGATGTCTGTTGTGCAAGAAGAACTTTCTCATCTGAGCATTCGTTCAATTCAAATGGAACGCAATCATCTGACTTTTTCCCTTCCCGACATCTTCCAAATAATGAACCATTTTTAAATTTAGAGTTCTTCAACCCTTTACATAGCTTTTACAATATTCAAAGTCGATTATCAGCTTCAGATGATCGTCATCGACACCCGATAAGCATGACATCGAGACTTTCGTTATGAAAGCTTATATCTTCAATATGAAACCTCAACAATCATTTGTGCACTGTGCATTCAGAATCCCTTCCCTGGTCTTTGCTTTGATGGCATTTCGGGTTGCTACTGCTCCTTTATGTCCAAGGTTGAACTTACTAAGCAAAAATATGCAGTGGCTTCAATGTTTTGAGAGCATTACTGTGTAACATTTTCTCAGGAAATTATGACATGAACGCGAAAGACCGACTTTCTATAAACCTCGGCATAGATGATATATCTATTTATGTGATCTTATAAACTGATCTTCTTAAGCTGACGCGAGGTCGGTACAGATCTTCGTTGTCGTTCTTTTTGATGTTATGATCGATGGCTGACGTTTCGGCGACTTCGCCTTCCTCAGAGCCTGGACGTATTTTATGTTAGAATACTTTTTATTATTCGGTGGAAAAGAAGGTTAAAGTATTAATGAAGATCAAACTTTCAAATAGACGCCATATTGAACAGAAAGGTCACTCACCGTGATGTTACGTGCGGTACTGGCCCACACGTAGTTCACGCGAGCAAGACACGCCCCGGGGTCAAAATATCATTTTGAAATAGGGCGCCAGGTCACGCGTGATAGTGAGGCATTCGTCCTTCCGGTTCATCTTCGGATTTTTGAAATTTATCCAAAACGCCTCAAGAGTTTTGCGCGTTGATGTTTTTGATTCCTGCGCTAGGATCCGCACATTGACTTCAAAATCATCGCCGTTGTGCTTTTGTACCCTATGCGCACCTAGAGGGGTGTTTAAACGGTCTACCCGTTTCCTCGATATATTCCTCGCCGCATGCATTACATGAGAACAAGTATATTATACCTAAACTCATGCAATCCCCTTCTCTCCCGTTAGGACAGATCATACAGTTTTCTGAGCTGCACAAACGATCATTGAGACGGTTTCGAACTAACTGGCGGCGTAGGGTATTGGGTGGGATGTCAGTAATCGTTACATA